TCATCAGCCAATATGGAACTGTATTTACAGATCCTCTTGCTCTTTACGGCTTGTGTCTCGAACAATATGCCCACTTCATTGTAAGTTTAGTTCACCTTATTTTCTAGTTGTGCAATCAGTACTTTAACAATAAGTGAAACATTGCAGGTTCGATATAGGGAAGAAAAAAGGTTGGATGATACTGTACAACTTATGGATGAGGCTTTGAAGGTAATTTCACTTAAAAAATTTCTTTTCAGTCTGGAATAATGCAAAATTTCATAAAACCACGCGCCATATTCCAGAAAATGCGGTTATATGATTTCAGATCTCACATCAAATTTATGGTATTAATTGCTTCCATACAATTAATATGCTCAATAATTACGGTGCTTTGTTAATTGCCAGGAACAGGTAAATTTCGTTCAGCGGATTGATTAGCTAATACTACTTCATGGTATGAAAGAAATGGCAATAAAATTTGTATATTTGTTCATCACAATAATATTGTAATAGTCCCCTGTTAAAATCCATGAGAGAAATACTTTTCTTTAACAGTTGAAGAAACCACGAATTGCTGGTTTCCTTCACGGCTAATCCGAGAACATTCTTGTTATCTAGTTCCCCAATAAAAGGAATGAAATTTTAACGGGAATTGTTTAAGTAGTGCCCAAAGCCGAATTTTACGATTAACAAGATTTTCTTCAACTCGCTAAAATCAGTCAGGTTTGATCTTGCAAAAAAGTATTTGGAAATTGGTATAAATAGGATATTGTATATCGACGAATGCAGCAGTCTACTGCCTGGGTACTACTGTAACTATTCAGAAGCGCTTTACCACTGTGGTCAGAGGTGCGTTACTTCGAAGTACATTAGAGCATTGTTAACGAAAATAAAGTTAAAAGAAATCTTCCACATTACTACTTAACTATTTATCAATTTAAAAATATCTCCACAGCTAACTACCAACAATTTCGTATGTGAAACTACATAATTGACACTGATGTGCAAGCTTCTTTTAGAAGGGCTTTGTCCAGTGACATCCAGTGGCCCACTACAAATAACATTTAAAAGAAATCTACTGGATGATTAGTTTCGATGATTTTGACTAATGCATAAATTTCAGAGTAGAAGCACTGCAGTATGCAAAAAAAGCTGTCAATTTATCATGTTCAGAATCAAAAGAATTAAAGGATTACACAACGAGGTTTCTCCAAGACATGGAGAAAGATTATAATCGTCGTCGATGACAAAGTTGTGCAAAAATCGTTCTTGTCATCTGCCGGTGTCTCTCGTTTTTTAAAACTACTTTTCAGTACTTTTAGCGAGACCAAATATTTAAAGAAAATCTTTAAAAATAAAGATGATTTAAAATTTTGGATTTATTTTTTTTGGCAAACCTTCTGTTTAGTTTAGATATCGCCGGACACACTAAAACTTCAGATTAAGTTATTTTCTCCGATTGTCAAGTACTTCTAACCTTATCTGGCTTTAGGGCTCTGATCAGCTAAAAGGCACGAAAGTACCAGATTATTTAACTGTTGAGTGATGTTTTACTGCTACTGATATGAGACTTAATGAATAAAAAGTTAAACAAGAAATGTCTGCCAAAACTATCTAACATCTTAACTAATTTCATTTTTGGAGGGAAAAGTTTTAAAATTTAAATGAAGATAAGTAAACACTCACAAAGAATTGTGTACTACGAGGTATGTACGAACTAAAACAGGTAATCCAAAACACAATAAAATGTTTTCTAAATTTCATCAAATTTCATTCAATAACCTGAACGACTGTGACATATCCAATGGGAGCACATTGAATGTTAATTTATAAATTTCCTCCATACCTTCATAGGATAACATTTCGGGTATAGAGAAGTCTGGATTTATTTTTTCTTGAGTAATCATTACGCGACCATCTGTTATCGCTTTAAGTAATAGTTGTCCGCCTCGATCTCTTTTCAAATAAACCTTAAAACGGAATAAACTATGAAATATACGGTAGTGAACAACTTTGCAGAAACAAGATTAGTGATCAAACATTTACACGACTGCAGAATCATCAAGTTATTCCCCACCCCAAAATTTCACTCAATCACAGAATAGAAAAAGTGATAGCATAGCCTCAAACAATGGGGGCTATGCTACCACGCTGAAAGCGGTCCAAAGTGAATGAATGCAAATAGTGAAAGGGGTCTGGAGCACCATTTTACACTCTTCGTCATAACACTATGACCTTTACTTGATTTAAAATAAGTTAAATATTCGTACATTTAGACCAGGATGAAAATTCATCTTGTGCTGACACACTAGAAGATCATCTTTCCGTACCAGGTCGCCCTCAGTTTTGTAAATTCCTCGGAATGGTATATTCCGCCTTGGCCGTAGCAAGTTACGAACAACCGAATAAGCTGGTGATGAAATTCGAAATAATACAACACCACCACCAGTACACGATGCCACTGACATATCTGAAAATTATATACAATCTGCAATTTTAATTAAAAAAAAATATTTTCAAAGAATGAAGAAATTTACATCAACGGATTATAATATGATCATTTTTGTACATAAAAAATGTTTGCTAATTTGGCAGCATTTCTCCATCATGGAATCAGCAAATTATAGGGTAAAAATACATCAGATATGGGAATTTGATTTAATTGCAAATCTCGATAAATTATGGATTAATTTTATGGGAAAATCCATAACACAGAGCTCCAGAGTCATGCAAATAGTAGGAAATTAAAAAGCAGTTAAATTGAACTGAGTGATTTTAATGCAGAAATCTCTGTGAAAGTATCTGCACTTGCTATGAGCAAATAGAGAAGTGAGAATCACAAATTTGATTCAGGACAAATCCCGATAAACACGTATATCGTGATTAGTACTCTATTCTACTTATTATTCTTACTCCAGTTATGATTTGTTCAATTTCCCAGCACTATTATCCTTTGAGCTGATGCAATACAAAGAATTATTCAAACAGATACAAAGTAAAATAAAATGTAAATGGACGAGATTTGCATGTAAGTTGCATGGTTTGGAATAGTGAAAAGTGATGATCGCCTTTTTCCGACGTCTATCATCCCATAGCATGTTGAATGATAAGTTGTCTGATAGCAATTTTTCCATCATCCGTTTTACTCCCTTTCATCACTCTCATTAATTCTCTTCCTGTTCTGGAGGAGATGTGAAAGATTACGAATATCTGCTTGTAAATGCTTGGCATTCTGTGAAGTATTTACAAACAATCACATGAAAACGCAATTGGAAATGATTTCAGGTTGTGCTACTTAATGGAGCCCTGTGAAAACGAGAATCGTTGTGGGAAAAGGATGCAGAATGCAAGCAGTATGTTCCTTTTTTCCTCTTTTCCTTTCAATCGCATTCGATTACTCGCAGAACTTGTCCGGCCATTATTTACAAAAGTTAATGACAGGAAAATGATTTAACTTTTATTAGTAGTTTGATAGTTTAACAATTAAAAGTGCATATTGTCATGTGATTTACATGAGTAAATCTTGGAAAACTAGTTACTGAGTGGTAAAATAGTGCAGAATAGATGATGCAAAAATTCTCTGGCAGTCAGCTTTTAATTTCAATCACCAATAGGTGAGGATGGTAAATTTGGAGAAAATAATATCTGTGGCTTTTGGTTTTTGCAGGAAAGAAGATCGGGATTAGACATCAAAACAAAATTTCAAATCTAATAGTTATAAACTAGGATTTAATGTTTATCCTTTTCTTAAAAATTTACCACAAATTTTTAGAAATTCCTGTTGTCAAATTCACGAAGGCAAGAGGACAGTCAATATCCTCACTTTTATTATCTCGCCATAGCGATGATAGCGGTAAGCATTTATATGTGTTGAGCCGCAGGGCGCTGAATTATTGCTGTTTATTATTTAACTTTCGTTTGACTTGAAGCTCTGTTCGATGTCATTCAGAAATTAAGTGAAAAATTGAATTGCCTCAGAGGACAGTGGTCGATTTGCTGTATCGTTTGATGATTCATTTTATGCGAATAAATCCGAACAAGTGGAGAAAGTTAATAACAGTGGCCAAACCTGCAAGCAGTCAAAGCATTCAAGGGCGCAGCAGTTTTTGTCGGTTTTTTCGGTAAGTGTAAGGGTCACTTATATGACCGCTTTTTTTAGATTACTAAATATACGACAACGATTTAAATTTTGATATGGTCATCACCTTTAGAATATTTCAGTCTTGAATCAGATATTATCCATTTTATATTTCAGTCTTCCATCAAATATTATCCATTTTATATTTCAGTCTTGCATCAAAGGTTATCCATTTTATCTCATCAATTTTTCATTCTCAGATCATGTTTTACAGCATTATTTGATTTATAAAAGTTTTTGATTTATTTAGAAGTGAAAATTGGTGGATAATTCATGATTTTTTTAACTCACTATTTTTTCTTTCTACTTTTCCCTTGTACTACGTTTTTTTTATCTGTCCTCAAACTATTAGTGATCTAAAAAAGTGAGATTTTAGTTTGTAATGCCTTTTTTTTTGGTAACTAGTGAAAGCAACAGGAAATACTATTGATGGTGTTTTCAAAACATCATTTTATTTTTGAAAAAGACATAAAAGAATTTTAAATGCTTCAAATGTTCTATTACATTTGATTTTTTTTATTTTTTTCAGCGAGAAACAACTGATTGCGATAGTGACTCGGCTACCTCATGCAGTTCTGAAAGTAAAACTGCAAAAACTTCGAAAAAAAAACTGCGGAACACTTCGTCTTCTGTCCATGTAATGAATTTTTTGTTTTTGTATAGGCTATAGTTCAAAATTTCAGCTAGCGTGGTTGTCAGAACTCTTTTTTTGAATTCACGATTTTATGGGGAAAAACAGAAATGAATTTTTTGTATATCAAAAATAGGTATCGAAAATCAATAGAAAAACATTGGATGCTGTGAAGGGAAAATCAGTTTCTACCTTATTATTTGAAATGTGGGATCTGAGAAATTACAGAGAATGAATTAAGGAAAGAAAGGAAGAGTATTGCTATGAACAGAAATTTGGTGCAGGGTTTCCAGAAACACTTTATAATAAAGGTTAATAGATCACTCTTAAGTATTTACTGGACTCATTGCAACTAATCGAATTAAAGACGGAAGCAGCATCTCGATTCAAAATATCAAAAAGAAAATTAAAGTTTTAAAATGTTCAGTTTTATAATGCTCGATAAAGAGAGTATGGTTCAAATTTCAAAGGATAATTTAAAAATAATTTGATTCTAATGAAAATGTTTAAAATAATGCAGCAAGTGATTGTTGATAGCAGCATTGAAGTGGCCTGATATGAAGTGTTTGTGAAGCTTTACGTCAAAATCATTCCAATCAGAGTATTTTAAGTGAGAACATAGAAAAAGTAACATCAGAAAACACTCGATTAAAGGCTATCAATTGCTTATTAATGGTTTCGTAGTCCTTGCAGAGTGCCTGAAAGTTAAGTTGTTTTTGGTGATACAGTGGAAAAAGATGCTGTGAGGAAAAAGAAAAATGAGGCGAAGAGGGAGAAAGTTACTTGAAGAAAAGATTATTATATTTATAATGCCGATTACATATTTTTAGGGGGAATTTTGAAACTTCACTGCTTATCTGCAGATCCAAAAATCGACTAAATTAACTATGTTATTCGTCTCTCGTTATAATACCTATTTTAGCAACCTGAATTACTAAGTGCAGGAACTAGTGATCGAGATTCAATTGGTTCCAGTGATTCGTCATTTCATGCTGAAAATGTGTCTCGCATAAGTGCTATCCTTGATAAAGCGAAGAGTAGAGGGCGTCAACTAGTGTACTCACATAAGAACAAAAAAGTCACAAGTATGGACTTCAGTGTAATAACTGGAATAATAAATGTTCTCTTTAGTGGTCATTATTAATGAAATTCGAAATGATTCTAGTTTCTTGAAGCAGTTTGCTTTTAAAACACCAAAAATTTGCATGAAAGTTCATATATCAGAAAAAACTGACTCGCTTGGAAAAGTCCATCAAATTATCACTGTCCGAGATGTACACTGTGTCGAAGGTGAGATTGGATTGCAAAACAGAGACCATGCAACAGCGGGTTCGATTTCTGCAAATAAAGTGTGTTATTTCCTTTTACATTTTTGAGAAAGAAAAATCAGGGAAACATTATTTTAACTTAAATTATTTGATGCTTCAGCTACTGCATTGTATTGAACAATTTTAGTGCTTTGTGATGTATGACTTTGATCTTTTCGAAAATTTGTCATTTTTTATCCTGCTAATGCAATTAATATATGCACCAAAATCGATTTTCTAGGATTCACTTACCCAATCATCATCATTTTTTGACCGCTTTCATATGTTTAAATCCGCTGATGATGAAAATAATAAAGTTCCGAAGTTTGAGCAGCCAAGGATGTTTAAGGTTTTGATCAGCAGGTGAGTTAAACTTTTATTACAATGCAGATATTTTGCTTCACAGTTTTGAGAAGCTTTCGAAGGCATGTTAAAGCCTCTTAAGGACTGTTAGCAGATCAACCAAGAAAAGATTAAGTGAAATAACTTAGCGCTGATGGCTGAAATCTTTTTTACGAAATGTTGTGTTCCCTATTAAAAATGTATATTAAAAATACGATGTGTCTGAAGATTTATGGTTTTAGGCATCAAATTTTGCCTTTTTCACGGCATCGCGTTCTTTCATCACTTCTACTTCTTGCATTCAATTAAATTTGTAACGCTAATACGAATATATCCCACA